TTTTTTTTTTTTTTTTTTTTTGATTTAGCAATTGGGAAATATCCACTTGCATCCTTGACAGGCAGAAACGGTATACGTAGAAAAGCATACTGGCGGCGGTTTTATTAATAGTGAAGCAGTGAGGAAAGAAAAAGTTACCTTTGTGTTGCCTGAAGTAAAACAGTCTGAAGCTAATTTTAATTAAGATGTACTAAAATAAAAAAGATTTTAGAGTTTAATTTCTTTTGTCTGCGTGCATTTTATTTTTGGATAATATCTTCATCTGGCTGTATCAACAGATCGGTAGCTCTAGCAGCGAATATAACAAAATTTGATATGAACAGAGTTGAACATCGTTTGGCTGAATTTCGAGCACGAAATTTTAATGGCTCTCAAAAACCGACTTCACCAGTTAGCATTTTTTACTACTTCTATTTCCATTATTTTGTGCTGCTTTATGAAGGCTCTTTTTCACATTCAGTCTATGACTTTGTTTAATTACGAAACAGCTGTTGATTCCTTATACAGAACGTGATTGGTGAAACTTTAAATCAATTGTTCTTTATAATACCGACTTTCAATAATTACAACAGTAGCTGGTAGAAAATTCTTTTGCTTTCTTGGCTTTTATGGCTGTAATTGTTGAACAAGTTCTAAAAAATTGTTATTTGTTTTGCGAGCACTTTTAAATTCACATTACTAGTGTTATTCGGCGTTACTGCAGTTAAGAGTGCCCACTTCCAAACATGCTATTTTTGGTCGTCAACCTCGCCTCGTTTTTTGCGTAATTGATTTTGATATTTCTTAATTCGCCTTTGATAAATTCAGATTTGTCTACTTAGTTCTTCCTAACTTTCTGGCGGTCTAATACTACAATGTCGCTTTAATCCTTTCGCAACTTCACAGTGCTGCTCTCATTTCAGCCGGTGGTGTAATGAATTGCGCAGATACTTTGCAGGTACAAACCCAGGAGTGTGGGACGAGTTCAAAACCAGTGACCTTGCAGTTCTCCGACTCACGGTCATCGCGGTTCTTGACAATTTTTTGGTCTGCCCAGAAAATTTATTTAGTTATTGTTTCAGTTGTGTGCATAGAACCCAACAAATGGAACTAACTGAGTTTGTTTGCTATAGATGTCTAAGTCTGCTTTAACATTTTATAAACGTGTCCAGCTGCTTCCTGATTTAAAGTTGTCAAGACGTGGAAAAAGTAATCTTGAGAAAAAACTCGGCGAAAATTAAAGGTGGCGATTGCAGATTTTGAAAAATGCAGTATAAGCAGAAAACAGACAAAAAAAAAACGTACAGGACAAAGTGTAGCTATAGGATTCTACAGCTCAAGTTTTTATTTTCTCTCTGTCACACTGACAAGTAGCTAGACAGGATTATAAAATGGTAAAAGCAGACCCTTTTGGAACATAAACTCGCTTAGTGCCATTTGTCGAGTTCTGTGTACACAACTTTTTGAGCAGGCTAAAAAGTGGCCAACAAATAAGAGAGCTTTGTGTAAAGGATTTTTTGGGAAGAGGGGATGGATTTGAACCGTTTAGATCTCTAGAATTGCAGTCTCAAAGTATCTGCTCTATCCATTACACCACCCGCTGATATAAAATGAAATTGTAGCATTAGACCTTTAGGAAGTCAGCAAAAGCTTCATAGACAAGTCTGGAACTATTGCAGATGAATTAAACATTGTGAAAACACGGTATATAAAAAAAGGAGTTTGGTTGGCGATCAAAAAAAAGGCATATTTGGATGTGAGCACGCTTGACTGTAATACCGCTGTGTTAGTCGTGCGTATTTTCATATTCCTTCTTTATTAACAGAAAAATAATTTTTTAGAGTCATTCTGCTGCTTCTGTTGTTGAACAGCAATGTGTTAGAGAGTCCTTCGCTTTGTCTGCCTTCCGAAGGTTGTTCGATCTGGATGTTTTAGACCTGTTACCCTTCCGTCTTTGGCTAAACTTTCGTGATCGCTACCCAAGGCTTTGTTTGTATTTAACAATTTCGATTTGGGGGTTTTTACAGCTGTTTTTTGTTTACTGTAGATTTGGTTCTGTATTCTTCCTTTTTTCCACATTCTTTTTTATCTTTCTTACCCTTGGTCGGCGTCACGCTGGGGAAATGAGTGCTTATTCTGTCTTCAATCCTGGCTGTGAGAGAATTTCGGGAACTTTGACTGCAGAGCAGTTTGAAAGAGAATTGCTTCACCAACATTAACTGTTTTCCCAATATTGATGCTTTTGTCTTACATGCTTTATGGTGACCGTTTGGAATCTATGAGGTGTTTTTCACTTAGCATTTTTACTGAGTGATCTAAGAGTCTTTCATTTTTGTTTCTAATTTTTTTCGAATAAGTTATCCGAAGCGTTTGAGGGTTTTTTTACATTTGTTGTGAAATTTTAAAGTTGTTCTGATGGTCAAGTACAGATGTTATTGGATGAATTCTGATTTCTTTTTTTCTTCAATTTACTGTCTTAATTTGCTGAGCTCGAATATTTTTTAAATATATTGGTGATGAGAGTCGTTTGGAAAAGAGAAATAAAGTTATTTATTGTGGCCTTCACATGAAAGTGCTAAGTTAGCTGCTAGTAGGCATATTTTTTGGTACGTGAACTTGTATTTTTGTATGAGTGTATACATTTACATTTATATCTCTTTTTCTTTTTGTCCATGTGAGCTATTGCAAATGGGAATTCGTTCAGGTTTCGAACTGATGGGTACAGTTTTTTGACGCCGGCTGGAACTTCTTGGTTTTACTCTAGTAATTTTGGGATACGTGATTGATGCTATTTAGGCATTAATGCCTTTTGGGTAGATGGAGCAGTCCAACTCCTTGCTACTGAACGAGTGTGCCTTACAAAAATGTAAAGAGGCGGAAAAGCCTATTTTTTTGTACGAATGGCTTCGTTATTTGGATCGTATTCTTTTAGTTACCCAGAAGGTAAAATATCAATTGAATTAGTTCGATAGCTTTAAAAGCATTAGGTCTACAACGAAGAGTCGGTTTTTTATGATGAAGCAAAAGGTTATATGCGTTAGGAATGCTATTACGCTTGAATCCAATATTATTGGCTTGCGAGAATTCAATTTTGTTTTTGTTTATCTATTTTTTTTACTTTTTATATTGTAGGTGCTATTATTACTCGATTCTGTTGATGATACTTTACTTAGTGTTTCATCCTATTTATTTGTTTTATGAATGATTGATCATTTTGTCAACTTTGACTTTTAGGCTGATTTGAAAAGTGTTCAAAAGCAACTAGTAGAACAGTTGCTCGCGAGAGTACTTGCTCAGCCTGGACCGCTGACCAGAGCGCTTCTCTCACGGTGCATAGCTAAAGTAGGCTGGATTAAGTGTTTGAATTTCAGACATTGAAGTTACTTACAGTAAAGTTTTGCTACTTATCTGATTCATTTTAATTAGGTGTACTCTGTTGGCGAGACATACAGTTTGTTCGAGACGATCAACTTTTGCAATGATACACTGAAAGGACGAGATGATTCGCTCAGTCACCTTCCAGTTAAACTGTAAGATTACGCAGTTTTACTGCGTTTGTTGACATTTTTGTTGTTTTATAGTATTCATTCTTACATCTGTTTTTGCCTACAGTCACCACCTTTGAGGCCCACTTTAAAATTCTTCCCAACAGTTCTTTTTAATGGATTAATGTTGTAAGCTTTGGGCTTTTTCATTCTTCGGCTTCAGATACATACAGTAGTTTAATCATTTATTTCTTCAAAAAAAA